ATTTTTGTATAGCCTAAGAGTATGTGGCTCTTTTCATGTACAAGGGGAAAATTATAAGATTTTAAGTTTTTTAAAATAGAAGCTAAAAATAAGTCAGAACAAGTCTAAGGTAAATAAAAGGTAAATAGACAAGTCCTCCTTTTTAGTAAATCAATGTAACTTAATTCAAAAAATACCACCTAGTAGAAAAATGTTTTTCAGGCTAAATACCTGGTAAAAAAATTAATTTAGCTACTACAGGTTTTAACTTCCTGAGATAAATCAGGTGCTTTCACATATTTAATTAAAAAGCTAATCTCTTTAACTCCTAATCAGAAGTATTTGTGAGCAAAAGAAGAATATTTTCTTGAGTAGTCCATCTCTATAACCAAACAATGCATTTATTGAAATTAATATGTATGAAAAAATTCGGGAAGTATAAAATATTTTTTAAATTATGTGACAACTACTGCATTTCCATCAGATAAGGGGACTGTCTATAGCAGCCATACCAAATAAATAGTCCACATAATGGCTTAGTTCCAGACTGTATTTTATTTACTGTATTGCACCTTTGTGCCTGTAACATGAGAGAATTTTTTGTAGGCCTTTTTGAGATCTGCAGACTCCTTTTCTCCATGCCACGATCATGTCAGTGACCAATACATGCATATCACGTTTTTTCTTCAGATATTAATCCAGAAAGAAATGCATTTTGTATTAACTATTCTTCACCATTCTCATAAACTTCAAACATTTTATTCAGTAAAATACATTTTATAATACTGACTTTCAGTAAAATACATTTTATAATACTTTATTTTATAATAAACATACTTGACTTAAACATTACAGGGACATTCCATTAGTGTGTGGATTAAACTTTGGAAGTCAGCAATAATTTTGCAGAAAATTGACACTGGAATATAAGCTTAAATTACTGTCCTTTTAACCTGTGAAGAGCAACACATAGGAATAAAAAAGGCTAATCAGAAACTTTTCAGAAAGACTTATGCCAATGCTTGCATTTTATGAGCTAGTCCTCTGGACACACTAAGTTATTTGCCTTCATTTTTAACAGTTTCATTGTTTTGTTTTTACTAACAAAGCCCAGGCTGTAAAAAAAAATATTGAATTAATATTGAAATATTAATGTATTTTCTTCATCATTTCTCTGCTTCATTTACTTCTTTATTTCATACAGTTTAGTTTCCTCTTGGAAACTGTAATAAACAGGGTTTTTAAACATGTATTCGCTATGTTAGAGTAGTAAAATCTGATACCAGTCTGACAATCTGAATCTATCTCATGTCTTTTTTAAAGGGAAAAAGAGAGAGAATAAATCAGGCTGAGAGGTTGGATGGAGGAATAGAAAATACAAATTTTGTGATGAAAACTAGTTAAACTTACTTGTATTACATAATCTTGCAATGAATCTTCAGCAGTTGTTTTGTCTTTATACTAGATCTTAATTTATAGATTTCAACATGCTATAAACAATAAGGAGGTGCTGAAGAATAAGTTTCTGCAAGGTGACCATGCCATATGTGTACATTTGTAACCTTTCTGAGTGACTACCCTTATTTATAGCCTTAGCCTCTTTACCTTCATAATTCTAAAGCTCAGAGCTTTGTCCTCTCCCCCATTTTAAGGTTTTCCTTCTCCATTTTATGCTCTCTTTCCTTAGGTATCATGTCTATATTTGGCAAGCATACCAAAAGATAGATAAAGCCTTAATTTCTCAACCCCTCTGCCTGTTACCATCTCTTTCTTGTTTCTGGCAAAATAAAAATTACCAGACTTCTGTCAGACAGTACTCTGAAACACAGAGTTAATTAGTTCAATGGTACTAATTTTTATGCCAAAATATCAGGCCAATGACATTACTTCAGATCACACATCAAAACCCTAAGCATTTGTTCTTCACAGGATCATGAGGCCTAACATTGTACATACAGAGTGTGTTAGAACTGAGGGCAGGACTCTGCAGCCAACGTGATTTTCCTTTTGACCTCAACGTGGGCATAACTGAGACCTAAGTATACAAACCCAGAGTCAGAGAATCTGAGAATGTTAGGGGTTGGAAGGGACCTCTGGAGATGATCGAGTCCAACCTCCCTGGTCTGGACCACCTAGGGCAGGTCACACAGAAATGCATCCAGACGGGTCTTGAAAGGAGAGACTCCACAACCCCTCTGGGCAGCATGATTTTACAGCACAGTGACCAGACAACCCATGGTGGCAGGAAACTGAAAAGGTAGAACCACTAGATCACCTGTGCTTTGCATCCATACTAAGGGAGATGTGCACACGGCCACGAGGGCAGCAGAAATTCACTACAAAATATCGCAAGAAATTAAAAAGAAAATGTAGTGTGATTCAAATAAATGCAAAATGTGAGGCAGTGAGATATGCTAATCTGACTGTTCTTACTGCAACAAAACTGGAACTGGCCTCCAAAGCCAGACTGAGATCTTAGACAACTTATTGTAACTAGTGGGAGGTCCGAGTGCAGATACAAAATTCCCACCAGCTTTTCAATTAAATCAGCTACTGGTCAACTACCATGAAAAGCTCAGATGAAATTAAATGTGCTTGTTCACAGCTCTTTCCTAATAAGAAGTCAGGACCTCTGCAGCACCGTCAGCCTGCAGAGGGGTTGCAGCACAGGCCGGCAGGCGATCAAAAGAGGAGACTGTGCTCGCCATTGTAAATTATGTTACTCTAGAATGTTATACTTTGTAAGTTCTTCTGTCGGACTTGCTTTTATTGGCAACACTGTTTAAGTCGAGCAACATTAAAAATTTAGAAGGGAAAACGTTCTGCTCTGTTTTTCTGTCATTTGACATACTTGGCAATAATTAACAAAGTTGGCTGGTTTTGCACTTTGTGTTGTCTAATGTGTGTTTGTAGCAGGAAAAAAGTACTGCCTATTTTACATTATAGAGATAGTATTTTAAAATCATTAATCTCGTAGAGATCTTCAGCTTCTACTCATTTTTTTTTTTTAAGCTGAACAGTTTTCAACATTGAATTTCCCTTTAAGAAATGTTCAGGCTCACTAAAGGCCAGATTACACAGAAATGTTCTTGACTGTTCAGCACAGCCAGGTGCAAAGAGAATGGTGGTATCTTAGACCTTGTGCGTGTTTCAGCTCCAAAGGCTGCACACACCACAATCCCTGTGAAAAGGCCTTCACCTATGTTGTATTAGTTCAGCCTTAATTTGGTCCTTAGCTGAGATACAGAGATAAGCCATCTCATTGTTTAATGGTAGAGCATTAACTTAAAAGATGTTTTCGGACCTACAGCAACGTTTCAGGATGTAAAAAATAAAATTACAATGCAACAGGTTATTGCCTCACATTAGGAATGTACTGGCTTAATGTGGAGGTGCTTTTACACAGCGTTTTTACAATCTTTACTACATCCCTGCTGAAGCCTGTCACTATTTTATGTATGTCAAAATGTGCAAAATGTTACAACAATCTTAGTTACAAACTTATTTGAGTCAAAGCCGGGATTTCCGCCCGCTGTAACAGCGGGGGGAGAACGCGTTTTGACGCCCCTTTCTTTAATCACGGGGGGAAACAAAATACCTTGTGATACACACGTCTAAGGTAGGCATTTCAGACGCAAAATAACATACAGGAAAAAGGGCAAGACTCTGCTCCTGGTGTTTCCAGTTGGCAGGAGGCAGGTCTGCGGAGATTTATAGAGTGGGTGCGTGGAACGTCAGGCTTGACACCGACACAGCGGCTTGAAAGATGCAGCGAGACACCAGCACTCGGGGGCTTTAGCGAGACAGGAGCCTCCGAACGTGCATCCGTAAACAACTCACGGACGCGCTGAGCTCGGCAGGCGCCGCATCCTCCCCAAAATTCGGCCCGAAACGGCGTCACCCCCCGCTCGGAGCCCCAGGGACCGGGAGGCGCTCGGTCCCCCGCGCACAGGACACGCGTGGGCAGGCGGAGGGGGCGGGGGAAGCGGAGGAGGTGCCGCTGGCCCGAGCGGCAGCCCCGCCCCGCCCCGCACC